CCTCAGCAGCAATCTGAATAACCAGGCCTGCATCAGCAGGGAGGGATAACCTGGCCTGCAGTGCACTGAATTCCAGAGTTGCCCAATGGCTTCATTGCCCTCTGCCAGCTGAACAGTGTCTGGCTGCCAGATTCTGCAGACCTGTATCACATCTCTGTAAACATGCTTTCTAAATATGGTAAACCTCCATGTACTCTGATGTTTTTTGCCTTAAGTAATAAAAAAAAAAAAATTAGGACTAATTTTTTTTTTCCTTCTGACTGCCTTTTAGATAAATACTAAAATCCCAGAACGCTGGGACAAATGAGTAATAGTCACCAATGAGGGGGAGGAGGACAAATGTTATAAAACAGCATCTGGTATGTATGAAACCAGCACAAGACTGAGAAATCCAGAATCTCCAATTGCCAGTTTGTTTAACTTCTCTTCTTAAGTACTACAAAAAAATCAGAATAACTTTCTCTTGAAAACCTTGGATTTTCCTCTCATTTCTGAGGCAGTATTAAGTTACTACTTGAAAAATGTCCTTGTCTGTGTAAAGAAGAAACTCAGTGATTCTTTATTGCCTGTTTCTCTAGAGGTCTTGATGTTAATTTTACTCATCCACCACACAGTGACCACTTGACATTCGAAATTGGCTCTCAAATGCAGTAAGCCCGGGAGCCAGACCAAATGCAAGTGAGCCCGCACAGTTTCCCTGCAGCTAAGTAAAACAGACAAATAAAACTCAAATCAACAGCGAGAAATGTACTTTTAATACTCATGATGAACATTACTATTTGGAATTCAGTGACTGCCAAGTCCACAGATCCTGCTGTGGCAGGTAATGCACAAAACCACCCACACTCAAAAGACGGGGTTCCTGGGAGTCTGCATTTTGGCTTTTGGGTCTTTTCTGAGCAATATATGTTGCCTGCCTTCTCTATTTCTTTGGTGTGCATTGGTGCCTTCTGGGACAGATCAGCAGTGTTGTGGAAAGAGGCTGTGAAGCCATGTTATGTTATCCTGCCATGTTATGTATGTCATGTTGTGTTGTGTATATCATGTCATGTTACACAGCTATACACTATGCATGGTCATTCCTGGCAGCCACAGTAAGTCTGTGCATCTTTTTAGTGTTTGCTGCCTGGCTCATCCTATCCAGATTTGTACATTTGTACAGGTCAAACTTCTTTTGACCATTTGGCACAGGAAATCTCTTCCTGAGAGCCCAGCTGGTGGATAGTAATTCCTTTTCAGTTTTTCATCTTCCCATTTTGACTTCCTTCTGCCCACCCACCTGCTTTGCCAACATGGAAAGACTACAAGCCTTCCTGCTCTCTCTCTGCCCTCATCTGAACAAGTAAAAAAAAAAAAATCAATATAGTAGTTTGTAAGAAGAAAAAGAGTAAAGGGTGTTGTGACAGCAGGTCTGCTTTCCCCCACAGCTGTAGAGCTTTTATCACCATACAAATGGTGAGGCACAGTCAAAATTTTTAAAAGTATTGCAAAAATTAATTAATTTTGCAACACATATGATATGCTTTTACCTCAGAGGTATCCAGAAGGACTCCCAAGGGAATCTGACAAGGCTAATTCTAGCTGGGAAGCCAGACAAGTCATGGAAGACCCAGTAACCATGGTCATGTAAAAAGAGGCCTGGGCAGCCCAGGGAGATAAGAATTTAGAAGTACCAGCAAGAAAGACACATGAAAGGTGGTGCCAAGAGCTTCCATAATACCAGCCAGTAAGTGCAACAGGACAACAGCCACGTTTGCCAAAGCACTGTCAGAGGGATAGAGGCTCCTCAGTGGTGACCAAGAATAACATAGAAGGGACTGGCATAAGGACAGAAATTACATCATGGGGAGGGCTGGTGGAAAGAAGAAAGCTCTCAAGGACAGATTTATTTTTGTGCATGAAGAAAGATGTTTCTGAATTTCGAGATAGATAACTCCTGTCCAGGACTGAAAATATATGTGCATAGTCATCAGAAGAGTTAGACAGATGAATGCAATAACTTTGCAATGTGCACAACTTGTGCTGCTCACATCTCAGCCACACAAATACTGATAAATATATCCATCTGCTGCAAATGTAGAAACTCTTTGCAAAACTTATTTGTCAGTTGTTCAGCTCAAACCGCAGGACAAAACTTGTGTCTCATAATGAGCCTTTCTCTTTGTGGTCCATATACATGGAATGGAAGCTGGCTCACTCACCAGACTAAGACTGCTTAAACATGAGACATCATTTCTTGTCTTTGACTTCAATAGGGATGCAATTATTATTTTTACCTAATAATTAAAGGAAAAAAATCAAGCTGGAAATCAAAAGACAATCCCTTTCATTGCACCACTGGAAACATTATTATGAACTGTCTTTACAAAACCACAGGAAAGAGCAAGCCGAAAGAACACACATTTTGGTAGAGTTTTAATTCAGACCATGTAATTTAATTCTGAATTACAATAGATCAAAGGGAAATTGAATTTAAAAAATACCTGTTGGATTATGCAGAATGGAGTTCCTCTTCTTAATAGCTCTGAAAAGATTACTGTGTCATGAGGCTCCATCAATCAGAAAACCCAAAGAGCAAGGATAAATCGAAGGTTAAGTGCATGTTGCTGAGGAACACCCTAACCACCTTCCTTTTATGATTATAAACCGGATGAGTTTGTGTTGATGGATCTATTAAGAACAAAAAAACAGCAATCTATATTCACACAGAGGCTTTCTGCCCATACATTTCCTCCAATGTGTACGACCACATTGTATCTTGCCATCTCAGATAATGAACTGCCACTATTTCTCTGTATGTTGCTTTTCTAACAGAAAGAACCTTGTTCTCAAAAGGCTGGTTATTACTTAATTTCAAAACTTTTCTTTAGCACAGGAAAACAGAGCACTCTGATATTTTTTCATTGTTTCTGTGTGACAGAAGGAAAGAACAAAAGGAAAGGAAACAAAGCCCTAAATCCATAAGAAGATCAAACTCCTTCCTGATGTAACTCCAGTGAAATAATGTAATACAGCCCATGGATGCACCCAGGACATATTTTTTACACAGGAACAATAGAAGTCCTAAATATTTCAGGAATCTCAAATAGGCCAACATCTACACAGCAGGACTCAAGATGAAGATTTTGGTCTGGAAGATAATTTTAGTTTTGCAGTTTGTGTCTTTTTTATTGCAGGGTCTAGAGTTTGTACATTTTCAGGTAGACACATGGTTACTTTCTAAATAAAGAGGTGGTCTGAGTTTGATTTCAGTGGAAATTGGAAGAGGCCACACATGCATAGGAAACATGCTGTTACCTAGCAAGGTGCATCATAGTGCATCCTAACATCATGGGAAAAATAGAAAGGTATATGATCAACATATTCCAGGTGTCTAATTTTTCCTTAACTGAATAGATGCTGCAGGCTGTTTGGTGCCTTTACTTCAAAAATTGTGCTCTTTAAAATGACAGGCACTGGTAATTTCGTCCGAAAACTGGGATTTATAAAATCAAACTTTTATAAAATCTGAAACCCAAGGAATTGCTAAATGTTATTGTTAAACTCTACTTGCTTGCAAACAGATATATACCCTCTGGCAATGCCTGAACTCCCATAGGAGTGACTTGGAGCTACAGTAAACAATACTATGAAAACTAAAATTACTTCTGTTGCTTTTCATTGAGTTTGATGCTAAAAAGTCGTTGCTTGAGCTTTCATTGTGTAGGCAGCATCTCCTTAAGCCACAGTCAGTCTGTACAGCTGCATTCATCAGCAGAGGCATCAGGAGCCCTCCCTGCTGTAGCATCACACAGGCCAGCTCTGAAAGCAGCTTTCAGGGTGTTAGGGTCACACTGCTGCTGATGGTTTGGGAAGCCTACTGTGGATGCTGTCCTTACTAAAAGTGATGTTCTGCAGCATCTCTCACGCCCTTACAAGACTTTGTTCAAGGTGCTATGTACTACTGCCCTGTTATGCTGCCAAAAGTTCCAATCTGTGAATACCATTCCTAACTTTCGGGATGTCACTTAGGCTTGCTCTTACAAATGCTTCTGCTCTTTTTTAATGCTGTATGAATGGTATTAATGAAGAAAAAGGTTTCTGTTTCACTCCAGTCGAGAAAAACACCAAATTCTGAATGGAATTGAGAAGCAGCTGATCAGTTTTGGGCATGTGAGTCTGAGTAAAGAAACCGGGGTGGTTCTTCCCGCCCCCCTCCATTTCCCCTAAGTGTGAATTAAATCGCACTTTGTAAGTAAAGACGGTAAAAATGGTGTGCCAGGTCACATCCCGTCTACCTCCTCGCAAGCAGTAACAATTTCTGAAAGATTTAGTGCACACATTAAGGGTTCATGGAAGCCGTCCAGCGCGCTTCCAACGGCTTGGATGTAATTAGTCATTCAAGATGTTTATTTTTAAATAAGGTACAGAGAAACACGATAATTTTAGGATGCCGGTTCAGGGAAGGAGTAGCGGGGGAAGGCGGGGAGGGGTGGTTCTCCCACAGAGGAGCCCTTCCCGAGGCGGATGGCGAGGTGGGGCGCGGGAAGCGCTCGCCGTGCGCGGGAAGTGATGCCCGCAGGCTGCCGTGGATGCGGCGATCCCCCGGCAAACCCTCTGCCTCGCACTTCGCCCCTGCGGCGCGGAGAGCGCTCCCTCGGGACCCGGCGGCTCCGGGAGCCATCGCTGCCGAGGCTCCCTCGGGTCGCTGCGGGATCAGCTCCGCGCCTGCCCTGCCCCGCCCCAGCCGCTTAGGGCGGGCTCGGGGGCTCAGCTGCGGCTTAGCCCGGGGCTCCTGTCCCCGGGGCTCCTGTCCCCGGGGCTCCCGTCCCCGCGTCCCCTCGGCTCCGCTCCCCACCTGTCCGCGGGCGCTGCCCCTGACGTCATGGAAACACCCCCTGCCCCCGCCCCGCCGCCCGGGAAGGCGGGCACGGCACCGGCAGCGGCCCCGGGCGGCGGCGGGGCGGGGGCAGCGCAGGCTCCTCCCGTTGGCCGGCGCGGCCGTCACTCGAGCGCGGCGGTCCCGCCGCCGGTCCCGCTCGTGGGTGTTCCCTGCCAGCCGAGCGAGCGCTCCGCCGGACCGGCTCTGTATGCTGGCTGTCGCTCCTGCCGGGCTCCTTCCTTCCTCGCTCCTGCCTGCGGGGCGCCGCTGCCCGGGGGCCATGGCGGGGGCGCCCGGCGGGCCGTAGGCGTGGGGCTCAGGTGGGTGTCCGCCGTAGGGATGAGATGCGATGGGACGGGACGGGCTGGCGGGGCGCAGCAGGAACGCTGCGGGGCGAGCCGGGGCTCCGCGGGACGGGGCGGGCCGGCAGCCGGCGAACTCGGCACACGGGAAAAGTGTCGCTTTGGCGCTCAGCAAGCGCCTTTCACGCCCGGCTGGCAGCGAGGGCGCCCGCGGCTGCCGGCCGGGGCGCGGGCGGGCGGGCGGACAGGCGGCGGCTGCTGCTGCCGGTGCCGCGCTCATCCCGCCAGCCTCCTCCCGCCGCCCGCGGGTCTCCGGCCGCGCCGTCACAGCCACACGAGGCTGTTCCGAGCGACAGCCAACTTAGACACCTCCCCTGCTCCGGGAGGTGCTGCTGAGGGGTTCATGTCTCTGCCGGGGCGCTCCATGCGGCACCAGCCGGAGCGAATTCCCGGTGAGCCGGGACGCACCGGGCAGCCGCTGCCCCGGGGATGGGCTGGAGCCGCTCTCCCCGCGGCTGCGGCTCCGGGACATCGCCCGGCAGCCGGCTGGCTGTAAAATCCCTGGAACTTCAGAAATCTTGGGCGTGTTTGCAAAGCCATCGATCTCTGCTCAATCTGTGGCTCTCTGTGCTCATGTAAAATAAAGAAGAAAACAAAGCCACCATTATTATCATTATTATTACTATTTCTTGTCTCTATCTTAAATAGGTTAATTAAATTCAGCTTGTTTCTAGGTTGATTTAATTTCCATTTGAGGACCAGTTAGACAATATGAGCTGCTATATACTCCATTATTTGAAAACTGTTTGGTGTACAGTACTTCACAGCTCAGTGACAGTGAAGTACTCTTCATTGAGCCTGTTTCGTTTTTACTAGGAGGATATCTAGGACAGCTAGGGAAATGGATATTTGATAAATGTGAGGTAATTTTCTGCCGTATGTTTTTCTCCTAGGCCGCTAATGATGGTAACCGTGTTTTTCTTTCTCTGTTTTCTTGAGAAGGCACAAAGGGAACAGTTGCTTCATGCCTTGACTTTCATCAATTAATCATAGAGTTCAGAGTGTTTCACTCATAGAGTTCAGAGTGTTTCACTATACTTAATTTCAACACAGCTTGTAAGTCCGGTTTGGGTATTTAAAGTGTGTGTTTTCATGGACATTTTCTGTAAAGCCCTGGGTAGCAACAACTTTAATTTCCATGAGCTTTGTTTTTTTTATTGTTTAAAATGGTTTTTAAAATATAGCTTTAAATAATGCTCCCCAGTCTGCACTCCCGATATATTCAAACTAGTTAACAGATTAATAGATTAAGTAGTTTCCCATTGTCCTGTCCTGTCCTGGCTCCTGTCCATTTTCAAAGCAACAGCATTCACAAGTCTTAATTCTCTTTCTCTTTCCTCTTATACTGCCTTCCCCACACATTGCATTAGGCCCACTTATGTCATCTCTTTTATGATTTTGTATGGTATCGGAGTTTGCATGCAGGAAAGGTGGGAGGGGACTTTTAGGTGTTGGAGATGTTCTTTGTGTGTGCACCGAAGAGTTGTGGTTGTGCTGAAATTATTGGTGTGTTCACCAAGGACAGGAAATGATGGTAAGGCTCTGCTGGAGTCTGCCTGTTGCAACACTCTGTGTGTGGCTAGCTCATTCACTGTTGCAAATGTAAGTATGCTGTATTTTATACAAAACCTTATTTGGGTTTTTAAGTAGATATGTGTACATTGTTGTAAAGAACTGGGTCTTGTTCAAACCACATCTATTATAAACAGATGCGTGTCAGCTTAATTCTCGCGTTTGTTGCATTCTCTAGATCTTGTTACATACTGAGGAGAAAATAGAGTCAAGCATGGCGTTTCCCGGACCTTATGGTTTCTAACTGTAAAGCTGAGTTTTCAGTTTCTACAAATGATGCTTTTAGCTACCAAATGAGAAAACTTTTCTATAGAAAAGTTAATTAATATCTAAAGTACTAATATGTTTTAGATTTAAATTGGATTTTCTGCAAAGTGCATTTCAAAACCATGCAGTGATGAACGAGGCAGCAGAATGAGTGTGTTACCATGCATGGGGCACTTTTCTATGTCAGAAGCAGTGTACTATCTGTGTCAGCATATTTTGATCTCATTAAATTTAATCTACTTTAGTGCAGGTAAGATTTGACCTACCGAATTAGCAAAGTCTTGCTGGTAAAAGGCTGTGGTATAGATACTGTGATGCATTGCTACTAAGGTAGCAAAGAAACTTCTAGGAGAATCTAATTGCTTTTTTTCTGTATCAAGTTTCAGATAATAGGATGCAGATACACTGAGATCTGACAAACAACTCTCTGGACCGGGACTAATATGTTTCCAAATTTACCCTGCTCTGCTCTTTGAGATGCTGGATTTGCATGTCTGTCTTCTGCATTAGTGATTATGTTCAAACATTATACTTTGGGGGGCAGACACTGTTTTTGGGCTCCTGCAGCTGTCGCTTGTGCAACGTGCTTTAATACTGTGCCTTGAAATGCATATTTGATTCCTTAAGATTGTCATTTATCTGAAGGACAAGGAGGTTTTGGGTATTGTAACATTCTGTCCTGTTGTGGGTGGATACGTGTCTTTATTCTACTAACACAAAATGTATCTCCTCCATGTTAATTTCTAATTACCTTAGAGGGAGGTTTTCTGTCTGCCTTCAAGGTTGAGTGATGTGGGTGTTGATGCTAATGACTATGATAGCCTAGGTGAAGCTGCAGGCGTGATAGCTAAGAAAAGCACAGCTCTGGGTCTGACCCTGGGAGGCAGGATATCTCTAACTCCTTCCTTAAATCTGTTTTAGCTTGTTACTCGTGCAGAGTTCTTGAAGATGCTTGTGGCTTTCACATAGGGTGTATGCTCAGAAATAGATTCTATTATATATGAAGTTATGACATGAATGAACAGCGTTGGGGTTTTGGAACTCTGTCAGCATGGAGCTCATGCACGTTGTTGCAAGTCACTTGAAACATTTAAAAATAAAGTTGAGGACTGCCTCAGCTGGGGAAGAAAACGGCAAACTTGAACAAATTCTTTCTGATTTTCTGTGTTCAGCTGTTGCAACTAAGATAATTTTTAAATGGTCAGAGCTGTTGTGGCTGCTGGGTTTGTTTGTTCAGGGAGTTTGGTTTTGTTTTGTTTTTGTCTAAATTACAAATTCAATGGCAAGTCTGGTACCTGCCTTGCTGCTAAAAGCAGTGAGGACTCTTGGAGTGCTAGCTGAAAGTGGGAAATGCACTTGGCCATTGCAGCTCAGCCTCCGCTGTCCTGCCTATCTGGTGTGCCTGACTCAGTGCAAGCTCCTTAGGGTACGAGTCACATGTTGGTGTGAGGCACTGAGCGCAGCAGGGCCTAATCCTATTGCAGTGTCTGGGCACTCCATGATGTTAACCACGAAAGTCAAGAAACAGAGTTGAGCTGCTTTCAATCTGGCAGGTGCTGAGCAGGTTTTGCAATGTCTGTTTGCTATTTGCTAATGATTCTCAGTCTTTGAATGCAGGCCATTCTAGACATGCCCCTTGAATTGTGGAAAATACGTACTGATAAGCAAGACTTGACAGGAATCCCTGTCATGTTCAACAGGAGGAACAAATAGAGAGAACTGACTTTCACTGACATCTAAGCCCTAAGCTTAGAGAGTACACTGAGAGCTGCTATGTGCATCTAGCTCTTAGAGATATCTCTAAACTAAATAATTGTACATCTGGCTGTGAGACAGACATCCTGACAAAAAGATAGTGGCTGTCTAATAGCATCTGGTAAGTCACAGCAGAAAGGCTGCAGATAGGATGTCTTATGTGTCTCTGTTGTTTGTCAATATTGTAACTGCTTAGACTGAATGTGAGAACTTGTCCTTTGAAGTCATTAAAAAGCGTACTAGACAAGCTCTGCATTCCTTGTGCAGCCATGAGTTGTGTGTATATATCTGTGGTTTTAGATTTGACATTTTAAAGTCCAGTTGTTAAACTACAAGTACCTGAACCAAACATTTCCTTTCTAGTCTTTAAGTTGTGGGGGTTTGATACATGAATCATATTTAGTTTGGCAAACACAGCTGCTGCCATGTCAACACTTAATTATTTCCTTCTGAACATTTTCTTTGGCAATTATATTAACAGGAGTGTGCAAACAAATCTCCCCTCCCTCTGCTTTCCGATGTAATGCATAGGCTGAGAATTAATGACATTTTTCTTTTGATTCATCCTTACATATTAGCAACTTTTTAATTGAATCTTCAACTCAGAATCTTCATATTCTGCCTCTATGCTAGTTGAACTTAATCCTGAAAAAAATCACAGCAAAACCATGGTAGTATGTGGTGCTACAGCTGTCATGCAGCAGTTGCATGTAAAAGACGGTAACAAGACAAAGCAGTAAAGGTGAGAAACTCATCCTTATTTGTGTTTCTGTGTTTACTGTAGTGGTATCTATTGAATTTCAGTAGTGACTTTCTATTATCATTAGGGGGAAAAAAAGTATTGGGCTTTCTGGCTATTCTGTGTATCTTCTGATGAATGTTTTCAGGGTAAAAATCTGAACTATTTCCCTTACTGAATGTAGTCATACTTTTCTCCCATCTTAGTTGCAGCCATTTTTTTTATTATTGCTAATGATGATACTGCAGAGTCTGTTATCACACTGTAATCTCCTATCTCTTGTGCCAGTCACTTAGGTCACTTTTAGGTCTCTTCTCTCTTATCTGGTGCCACTTACTCTTGCCATTCTGGAGGCTTTTCCTAGTCATAAAGTACACTTTTTTACTGCTCCAATTTTAGTCTGTTCCACTTTCATAGAGCTGTTGGTGAAAATGAATGAAGCTCCTGGTGTTCATGGTTCTGCTAAGGAGCAGCTGTGTGGATATACTCCATTTGCCTCCCATGTACACTCTGCCCAGAGAGTAGCTGAGACCCCTGGAGAGACAATTTCTGAACAGCCTGGCAATCAGGGAAAGAACCATGTGTGCTGGAGACTTTATCCTTCTCAGTGCACAAGCCCATCTGT